CTTAAAACAAAAATTACTTTGTATGTTTGATAGGCAACAAATGAAAAAAAAAAAGGCATGAGAAAAACATTGCTTTACAAACCTTAAGACTTGATAAAAAAAAATTGATATTTTGCATATGAAAGCATTGTAATCTTTACTGATAATCTGCCAAATTTTGTTAACATATGGTTACCAGTTTAAAAGTTATAGCATGAAAACCATAAGCACAAAATGGTTCCTGGAACTGAGCCGGTGCTGAAATAGTTAAAAGAAATTTTCACTCTTGAATTACCTAGATATAAAGTATTTTTGGAGAGACTTAAAAAGTACCATTTTAACTGTTGGATATAACATTTAACTTGATTTTAATTGAACTGTTATAAATCATGAAATCAATGTGTATGCAGTATAAACTTGATAACAGCTCCAGCATCTTTTTACCTTTCTGTAGCTGTCCTCTATAGTTGGATCATATTTCTCCACAAATATACCTTGTACAAATTGTACTGTCTGTAAAAAAAAAGAAAAAAAAGTATTGATATAAGCATATAAAAATAAATATGAACTTAAATTTACATCACCAAAAGTCACCATTTGTTACTGGACCATAAAACTTTTCATAAATATATTAAAACATGAAACTGAATTGCAAGTCCTCTGCCCCAAGAACCAAAATCAGAAGAGTAATAAAATAAGTACCCACTTCAAGAACCAAGTCCAGAACAGTCATAAAACAAGCAGCCACTTCAAGAACCAAGTTTAAAACTGTCATAAGACAACTCACCACTTAAATAATGAAGCCAAAAACAGTGTAATGGAATTCCAGAACTATAATTTCTATAATGCTTTGTGGTTCAGTAACATAAAAGCTAAAATGAAGTTGTCTATTCTAGTTAAAATAGCATAAAATAAAAACAAGTAAAAGTTAAAATTCTTATTAGAAATTTAATGTATCCTCTTCAAGTTCTAATTACCCCAATAGTAACTGTTTTACCTTTATGAGAGAAACACTAATTTTTGCTTGACATCTACAAAAATGTTGAACTTTTAGCTCCAATCTCAAATATTTAAGTTTTAAAACCAAGAGACTTCTATCTGTACAGGAACTTAATTTAGTTATGACCTAAACTCTTTTTACTTTATGTGAAGTACTTGCTGTTTTACATATGCCAGTTTCAATAACTACATGTAAGCTTTGGTGATAAAACACACATTTAATTTGATGACAATAGTTTTAAAAGTTAAAAAAAAATCAGCACAGAAATGTAAATATTTCTCACTATTTTGTTTTACCTATGCACTTTAACCAAACCTCTATTAAAGCAATATATTAAGAGTTTGGATGTTTCTGTCAATTATTTACTAGTTACTTACCAAGGCACTTTTACCAACACCTCCACTTCCGAGGACTACTATCTTGTATTCTCTCATTGCTATGTAATTTCTAAGAATAAAACCTAAAAAAATTCAATAATAACATTACATATATATGAAATATGGTAATTGTTTTAAGCATTTAATTTCGCAATATCATCATGATTACCTGAAATTCTAAAATGAAAAAAAAGTTTTTGTATATATATTAAAAAAAAAATTCTGTACTTGTTTTTACTGCTGGTGTTCTTTAAGGTCAACACTCAAATAATTCATTCCAGCAGCAGTTACAAAAAATTAAAAGTGCATAAAACAGCATCAAACAAAACAAGCTAAAACTCGTGTGATTTTTATTGAAAATACCTGAACAATAAATACAAGACGAACCAGATTCTCTTCAATTGTTTTCCAGAAATCACAATAAACACCCTTAGATGCACATCATGTAGTGTTCGTTTAGTGTGTAAATAATGTAGCAACTAAAATATGAATTAAACTAAGATCTGTATTTCCAGAAAAATTTCCCAGAATAAAGGCTGAAAAACTGGACACCAGGAAAACAAATGTAAGGAGAGATATGGAGAAAAATCAATAAACCTACTTAATTAATGAAGTAATTTGTAGCATGTTTAACTCTTTGTACTGCATTCTGCAAACAACTGAGCAAGAGGACACAAGTTTAAGATTTGGAAAAGAGAGCTTTATTTTTCTAATAGGGTGATTGGCTTATTGGAATAATTTGCAGTCTACAATAGTGGGGGTGAGCACTTTACAAATTTAAGAAAGAAATAGATAATTTCCTGAAAAGTAAAAGGTGGGCTTAAATTTTCATTTTCTCACAGGTTGGTATGTAAGGCAACCTTGAAGGAACTAAATGTTCTATTGTTGTCCAATGTTATGGTTTTCAATTATTAGGTAGCACTTTGGAACATTTTCATTAACCACCTCCCCCCAAAAATGTACATCACCTAAATATCACGTTAGTGTTGTCTATATAATGTGTAAAGTTTAGTATTCTCTAATCCCTTATAGTGATGGCACACGAAAAGACACATTCGACATGTAATGCTGTTTGAATACATGAAGGGAAACAACACCTCTGTAGT